CTTGTCAAAATGCTTCTGGAACGAACATGTTTGTTTCTGCTTGTTGGAGGTTGAATGGCTCTTGAGCGTTGTCAGGCTCTGTAGTGGAGATGCCACTGCCCGCCTCTCGGCGAGGTGTGCGGGATACCAGTTTTGTCCTGACATTTGTCGTACATGTAGACCTTGTTTGGCGCCTTCTCCCACCTTTTGCATCTCAGCTATGCCCCAGCCGTAGATTATCCGCTTGCCCAGCCAAAAGTTGACAACTCTTCCGCTGAATCAGTCTGAAATCCCACGCTTGACACGTCCATCTCCGAGACGCAAAATAGAGTGTAGGATTTCTGTTTACTGTAAATGACCTGGTTGAGGCGAATGAGATTGAATAAATCAATGAGAGACTTGGAATGACTGCCATATGCGCAGCCAAGAGGGGTTGAGATCAGTTTTTCAGATGTGCAGCCAGACTTGGAAAAGGCGGATCCAGGCCAACTGAGGGAAGGGCAACTCGTTGTGATGGACTCACCGTCCAAACTTTGGAGACCTGGTCTTCATTTGTTGATTTGCCTGCACAAAGCCGGCTGATGCCACTCATTTCCACCGTCTCGCCATCCTGCGGCGTCGGGCAAAGGCACTCAGTTGCCACGCAACAAGGTACTGAGTGCGGTTGCCTGTTGAATGGTTACCAGCTTCGATGCACGCAGCCGAGGATGTGGAAGTGCCAGAGCTAGAGCTGTTGATGCTTCTTGGCTCGCGACCGTCGTGCTGGTGGCCTCATGTCAGTGCTTCTGTTGATACTCTGAGAATCAGCCCTGAGTACGGCGTCACGCCAAATATCTTTCGATCAGTAGCCCTTTTGCAGAACCAGAACTAGCTTTACCAAAGATGTGGGGGGCAAGCCAACCACGACAAACGTGTACCAGATGTGCATTCTCACTTGCTTATGCTCCATAATCTGACGCATAGACGTGCATACTGAACACAGAAGTCGGCGTGTGGCACGCGCGCATGCAAGCCCCTGGCACTGGCCGGTCCAAGGACGTACTACTGCTTGCTGCAAGATGCGCGGCAGGAGCTTAGATTTGTTGGTTTGCCGCATTTGCACCCTACGGGCATCGCTGAAACTGGGATGTCGGGCTATTGCTCTTAAGTGCCAACGCATGTGTTGGCTTGCTTTGGGCGAAGCGCGGTAGCTATAAGTTTGGCCTTGCGTACGACATGAATTTGTGATGGAAGCAATCGCATAATGCGTACGGATTTTATTAGGTTTTTGTGTGTGAAGCCCTGCATGGAAACCGAAAGCTAGATGTTGTGGTGTGGAACTATTTGGATGAGGTTGGCCCTGAAACACATGTCAGAGCAAACATCCGTATATGTTGTTTGTTTCATGCTAAAGCAAACTTCCCGCATACTCGAGTCAAAGTGGACGGCCTGCAAGCTTGATTCAACGGAAGCGAGCCAACAATGTCCAACAAAGGTAAGGCTACGCGTTCTGATACATTTGGGTCTCAGGTTGAAATGTCTCGTTTGGTCGCAACTCTTATCGATTCGGAAACTACGGCAGGACCTCCGTCACGGTGTGGATGACGGAGTTGCAGTTGATGTGCCTGACTGGGCAGCGGATCTTTTGATGGACAGCTGGGTCCTCAGGTAGTATGGATCGCTGGATTGATTTTGTAGCTTGCCGTATGCCAGTGCAGCAGGAGAAGCCCCAGACAGCTATTTAATTCTAGAGTCCCTTAGAGGGGGTGGGGCTTCTCTAAGGCTCCCGAAGCTAAGGAACCCTAAGGATCCCCAACCTTAAGGCTCTCAACTACCCACCCCCCTTGTACCTACCCCCCCTTCAGGATTCCATAATTTTCACCAAGAACTGGTATCTTCGTTGCCTCTGCTAGTCACACCTGGGTTGACTTTACAGCTCATATGGTTGGGATCCTGGGCTCTCCCTGCATCTCTTGAGGCTTTTGGACAGCTGCGCGGGTGCAGGCACTGGTGGATTCAGCAGCCTGGCCGACAGTTCGGGCAGAGCCAGATCAGCTTTCATTGGTGGCAGTTGCGTCATCCTCATGTTCTTTCGCAGGGTTTTGAGTACAAACCTCAAGTGCCGCCCCAGCCCCGCCCAGTAGCGCGCCGTTTGCATCATGGCTCGGTGTTTCCTGATGGCCTTGGTCCTTGCAGTTGGCGCCGATGCCCGCCACTGCCTCTACGACAACATGGGATCACTGCAAAGCTGTGGGCGTGGTTGCTTCAGCCGACCTAGTGCGACACAGGCCTTTTGCGTGTCTGGCTGTTTGTCCGGCAAAGGTGTGAGCGGGGGCTGCTCGCGGTGCTTGGGCAACGGCTTCACATGTGCCCTGCGCTCATGCCGCTCGTCTTGCTCGGCAGGCCTCTCAAACTCCCGCTGCACAAGTTGCATTGCCTCGAGCTGTGGGCTCTGCGCCGGCGCCACGAAATCGGCAGCGAACGAGACGGAGGCCATCGAGTCCATGGCTGAGGTGCTGGTTGCCGTGCAGTCAGAGGAGTCCTCCAAGAACCTGGGCAAGCCTGAGGAGGAGGCAAAGCAGACCGAGAAGACCGAGGAGGCTGAGGCGACGCTCAAGGTGCAGAGCGCGGGCTGCTACGAAAACCAGGGACTTCTGAAGACCTGCGGCACTAAGTGCTTCTCTGACCCTGCGCGGGGACGCTGTGCCACCCGATGCTTGAAATCCCGAGGCATGAGCTCAGGCTGCGCGGAGTGCTTCGGTCACAAAGTGGACTGCACCATCAAGAACTGCTTGAGCAACTGCATGTCCAACAGCTATTCTCCAGCCTGCACGTCTTGCGTCAGGTCCAAGTGCGGCCGCTGCAACGCAGAGAAGTCTGCCGCCTCTGATGAGTTCCTTGCTGAGATTGCAACTGCGGCTGTTGGCCAGGGTGAGGAGGCAGAGGTCTATCCCTGAACTCCATGAGGCACTTTCCGTTAGTTGCATCTTCACTTTTGAATGTTCGAGGCTGGCAGGCCTTGATCTGGCTTCGAATCTAGCTCAGGACAGGCTGCACAGAGAAACATGTTGATATAGCTTTTGTGCAGCCTGACGCCTGGCTCTAGCAAGCGGTGCAGCTGCATGAGGCGAAGGGGTCTTTGCTGAATTGTGGAATTCAATGTGTCGCGCAGCTCGCTCGACACACGTGCCGAAAGTGCACGAAAACAGCATGACAGCATGTTGAGTTTCTTTGCAATTTCGTTCATTGAATTGTGAGTGAGCAAGGCTGCACACATCGCTCCTATGAAAGTATTGTAGCCGCCGTTCCTTCCCTGCAAGTGTCACTTTTGGCTGTTTGTTTGGCGAAATGTAGAAAGGATAGATATTGACAATAGGATCTTGCACGGTCAAGAGTTCGGCGTCGTGGATCATTAGCAGGAATGCAGATTGCAGATCACGTGCTTTTGCGAAAAACCATCGCGGCAGGGCTTTGAGTACAAACCTCAAGTGCCGCCCCAGCCCCGCCCAGTAGCGCGCCGTTTGCATCATGGCTCGGTGTTTCGTGATGGCCTTGGTCCTTGCAGTTGGCGCCGATGCCCGCCACTGCCTCTACGACAACATGGGATCACTGCAAAGCTGTGGGCGTGGTTGCTTCAGCCGACCTAGTGCGACACAGGCCTTTTGCGTGTCTGGCTGTTTGTCCGGCAAAGGTGTGAGCGGGGGCTGCTCGCGGTGCTTGGGCAACGGCTTCACGTGTGCCCTGCGCTCATGCCGCTCGGCTTGCTCGGCAGGCCTCTCAAACTCCCGCTGCACAAGTTGCATTGCCTCGAGCTGTGGGCTCTTCGCCGGCGCCACGAAATCGGCAGCGAACGAGACGGAGGCCATCGAGTCCATGGCTGAGGTGCTGGTTGCCGTGCAGTCAGAGGAGTCCTCCAAGAACCTGGGCAAGCCTGAGGAGGAGGCAAAGCAGACCGAGAAGACCGAGGAGGCTGAGGCGACGCTCAAGGTGCAGAGCGCGGGCTGCTACGAAAACCAGGGACTTCTGAAGTATTGCCAGGCCAGGTGCATCCGTTCTGGTGCCCCGGGAAAATGTTCCACCGAATGTTTGAATTCGCGAGGCACGAGCTCGGGCTGCGCGGCGTGCTTCGGTGATAGGTTTGATTGCACCATCTTACGCTGCTGGAGCAATTGCAGGTTCAGCAGCTATTCTCCAGCCTGCACGTCTTGCGTCAGGTCCAAGTGTCCCAGCTGCAATGCAGGCTCTGAGAAGTTAATCGCTGAGACTGCGACGGCGGCTGTTGGCAAGACGGAGGCAGAGGTTTATCCCTGAGCTCCCTGAGACACTTTCCACTTGCATCTTTCACTTAGCTTTTAGGCAACAGCTGCACAGAGAAACATGTTGACATAGCTTTTGTGCAGCCTGACGTCTGACTCTAGCTAGCGGTGCAGCTGCATGAGGCGAAGGCGTCTTGATGGAATTGTGGAATTCAATGTGCGCAGCTCGGCACACGTACTGAAAGCGCACGAAAACAGCATCACAGCATGGCGTATGGCAGGGATTATAGGGATTGACGCTGCAGTTTGTTCATTGACTTGTGAGCATTGCTGCCTTTGAAAGTATTGGCTGTTGCTCCCCTGTGTCCCTACGTCAAATCTTACAAGTGCCATTGTTGGCTGGTGGTGTGAGCATTGTGTGATCCTATGGCAGAATTTTGAGTACAAAGCTCAAGTGCCGCCCCAGCCCCGCTCAGTAGCGCGCCGTTTGCATCATGGCTCGGTGTTTCGTGATGGCCTTGGTCCTCGCAGTTGGCGCCGATGCCCGCCACTGCCTCTACGACAACATGGGATCACTGCAAAGCTGTGGGCGTGGTTGCTTCAGCCGACCTAGTGCGACACAGGCCTTTTGCGTGTCTGGCTGTTTGTCCGGCAAAGGTGTGAGCGGGGGCTGCTCGCGGTGCTTGGGCAACGGCTTCACATGTGCCCTGCGCTCATGCCGCTCGGCTTGCTCGGCAGGCCTCTCAAACTCCCGCTGCACAAGTTGCATTGCCTCGAGCTGTGGGCTCTGCGCCGGCGCCACGAAATCGGCAGCAAACGAGACGGAGGCCATCGAGTCCATGGCTGAGGTGCTGGTTGCCGTGCAGTCAGAGGAGTCCTCCAAGAACCTGGGCAAGCCTGAGGAGGAGGCAAAGCAGACCGAGAAGACCGAGGAGGCCGAGGCCACGCTCAAGGTGCAGAGCGCGGGCTGCTACGAAAACCAGGGACTTCTGAAGACCTGCGGCACTAAGTGCTTCTCTGACCCTGCGCGGGGACGCTGTGCCACCCGATGCTTGAAATCCCGAGGCATGAGCTCAGGCTGCGCGGAGTGCTTCGGTCACAAAGTGGACTGCACCATCAAGAACTGCTTGAGCAACTGCATGTCCAACAGCTATTCTCCAGCCTGCACGTCTTGCGTCAGGTCCAAGTGCGGCCGCTGCAACGCAGAGAAGTCTGCCGCCTCTGATGAGTTCCTTGCTGAGATTGCAACTGCGGCTGTTGGCCAGGGTGAGGAGGCAGAGGTCTATCCCTGAACTCCATGAGGCACTTTCCGTTAGTTGCATCTTCACTTTTGAATGTTCGAGGCTGGCAGGCCTTGATCTGGCTTCGAATCTAGCTCAGGACAGGCTGCACAGAGAAACATGTTGATATAGCTTTTGTGCAGCCTGACGCCTGGCTCTAGCAAGCGGTGCAGCTGCATGAGGCGAAGGGGTCTTTGCTGAGTTGTGGAATTCAATGTGTCGCGCAGCTCGCTCGACACACGTGCCGAAAGTGCACGAAAACAGCATGGCAGCATGGCAGGGATTGACTCTGCAATTGTGTTGTTTTGATTTGTGAGCATTGCTGCCTTTGAACTAGTTCGCTGTAGTTCCCCTCTCTCCCTACATCAAGACTTGAAAGTGGCATTGTTGGTTGGTGGTGTGAGCATTGTGTGATCCTATGGCAGAATTTTGAGTACAAAGCTCAAGTGCCGCCCCAGCCCCGCCCAGTAGCGCGCCGTTTGCATCATGGCTCGGTGTTTCGTGATGGCCTTGGTCCTCGCAGTTGGCGCCGATGCCCGCCACTGCCTCTACGACAACATGGGATCACTGCAAAGCTGTGGGCGTGGTTGCTTCAGCCGACCTAGTGCGACACAGGCCTTTTGCGTGTCTGGCTGTTTGTCCGGCAAAGGTGTGAGCGGGGGCTGCTCGCGGTGCTTGGGCAACGGCTTCACGTGTGCCCTGCGCTCATGCCGCTCGGCTTGCTCGGCAGGCCTCTCAAACTCCCGCTGCACAAGTTGCATTGCCTCGAGCTGTGGGCTCTGCGCCGGCGCCACGAAATCGGCAGCGAACGAGACGGAGGCCATCGAGTCCATGGCTGAGGTGCTGGTTGCCGTGCAGTCAGAGGAGTCCTCCAAGAACCTGGGCAAGCCTGAGGAGGAGGCAAAGCAGACCGAGAAGACCGAGGAGGCTGAGGCCACGCTCAAGGTGCAGAGCGCGGGCTGCTACGAAAACCAGGGACTTCTGAAGACCTGCGGCACTAAGTGCTTCTCTGACCCTGCGCGGGGACGCTGTGCCACCCGATGCTTGAAATCCCGAGGCATGAGCTCAGGCTGCGCGGAGTGCTTCGGTCACAAAGTGGACTGCACCATCAAGAACTGCTTGAGCAACTGCATGTCCAACAGCTATTCTCCAGCCTGCACGTCTTGCGTCAGGTCCAAGTGCGGCCGCTGCAATGCAGAGAAGTCTGCCGCCTCTGATGAGTTCCTTGCTGAGATTGCAACTGCGGCTGTTGGCCAGGGTGAGGAGGCAGAGGTCTATCCCTGAACTCCATGAGGCACTTTCCGTTAGTTGCATCTTCACTTTTGAATGTTCGAGGCTGGCAGGCCTTGATCTGGCTTCGAATCTAGCTCAGGACAGGCTGCACAGAGAAACATGTTGATATAGCTTTTGTGCAGCCTGACGCCTGGCTCTAGCAAGCGGTGCAGCTGCATGAGGCGAAGGGGTCTTTGCTGAATTGTGGAATTCAATGTGTCGCGCAGCTCGCTCGACACACGTGCCGAAAGTGCACGAAAACAGCATGACAGCATGTTGAGTTTCTTTGCAATTTCGTTAATGTTTGTGGCTTTGCTTTTGTCACGGGGAAGCATTCAAGGAACGTTTCCGCATGCTTGCACCAACAGCATGCACTGCACATACCCTGACTTTCCTAGTTTTTATTTTTGCAATGCGCAGACGCCGAGTTCGCGAAATTTTGGTCAACCGCACCAACTTGCAAACGGGCTTCGGCTTGCGATCAACTGTTCGGCGATTCACATCGGGCTGGGGACTTCTCCCAGGTGGGCAGCCCTAGCTCACTGGAGCCAGATTTGCAGGCCACTGAGAGGAGTGTTGCCAAGCGCGTCAGATTTGCCGGGCCCAGGCAGACAGTTGCCTTGCTGCAAGCTTGCCTCAAGACTTTAGGCCCTTTAGGCATAGCAGTGATTGGACTAAAGTTTGCTGCTTCGGGGGTATGTCGAGGCCAGAACCTTTTGCAGGGATGCTATCAGCCGCTTTAGTTTGATGGAAATGCGTTTTGGCAAGGCCCGAAGACCTTGTGGCAAGATTCTGAAATGTGGTAAGGGGGAGGGGTCAAGGGAAAAAAGTATGAAAAAAGAGTCAAGGGAGAAAGCATCAAACGTGCACTGACACTCAGCATTGCTTAGTAGCGCTTTGTAAGGGCTAGTGCACCCTACTGAGAACTCCAGGCTCAGCAAAGAAAACATGGCCACGCCTGGGTGTGTTTTGCGCCTATGACGCCTTGCTGAGCGGTGTTGAGCTCTACTGAGGGCTACTCAATGCTATTGAGTGCTACTGACAGCTTCTGAGTGTTCCAGAGTGCTACCCAGCGCGCGGGTTTCGATTGCGCGTTTTAGACAAGCGACACTGGGCGAAACACCGTGATTTGGTCCATTTGACCCCCCCCCCTGACCCCTCCCCCTTATATAACAACCTATCAAAAATTACACGGGAGGGGTTACGCAGGTTCTGGTCCATGTTTCCACATAACAGGGTTCCATTTAGGTACCGTTTTTTTGAGCCACAGCCATATGGCTAGTAGTTCCCATTAGTCTGCATCATGATTTGCGGTTCATCTTGTGCACGTGTGTTGCTTTCGATTCAGGGTTTGCAAAGTCCCAGAGAGCAAAGGGATGTGCTCTGTGCCATCGAGGTGTGCGATCTAGATATGCCATGACGTTCTGAAGGCAAACACAGCTCATGCCGGAGATGTGCCATGCCCATTTGTTTGTGAATGGGCTGTGTCGAAGTTGGTGTTTGCAGAACTGGCTGGTTTGTGCCTGCCCTAGTTTCAGCAAATGGGAGCCCACGTACCATGCCATGAGCATGGTGATTTGGGTTGCTGCACTGTCCTGATGAACATATGTAGTGGCGTTTGTTCTTTTGAGTTTCTATCTTGCCAGGCCATGCACGATGTGGAGCCAGATGCCAGCCCAGGGTGCGCCCGAGCGGGTTACAGCCGTTTGTGGTAGGAGGTTTTCTGCAAAATCTTTTCTGTGGTGGCGTCGGTTACTTTGGGCCCGCCAAGCTCGATCAGCGTGGCACCGCCTCATTTCGCTCGTTAGGCTTGGGCCAGAGCCGCAGCCGGAGCCAGCGCTGCCAGAGCCAGCGCGGTCAGAGCCAGCGCGGTCAGAGCCAGCGCGGGCGCCGCCGCAGCCTGCACGGCGCAAGGATCGAAGAAAGTACACCAGCCGGCCAGCACCAGCCAGTCGCAGATTTTGATTCTGGCTGTCATGAGTTCTTGTTTTCCTAGTGGGCCAGTCGCTTGGGTTTTCCTGGGCCATTCGCTTGGGAGGTACTATGGTAGGTTTCCACTTGAGGCAGATCTTTGGCGTTGCAGCTAGTCATGACCCTTCAGGGCCCATGCGCTGCTTTGCTGGCTCAGCCTGGTTTAATCTGGTGCCTTTGCGTGGCAATCCATCGATGTGTGATGGCTTGGCTTGAAAGTCCTGTACGGCAACATCTGTGAGTTTCGCCCTGCGGCCCAACTGGCGCATTGAGGCGTTGAGATGTACCCCATCCACTAGCTTGGAATCTGACTGGGGACAAATCCGCCCTGTGCAGGAGGCTCGCTGGGGCCGCTGCATGGCCCCCTGGTGCAGGGGCCTGGCAATGCAGCCAGTGCTTGGCAGCCGAGGCGCGGTAGCTGCGGTAGCAATGCCCTCGTTCATGTTGGGAATCATTGCAAGCGGAAGGTTGCCGCTCGGGCAAGCGTTTTTCCTGCTGTTTAGGCGGACCATGTTGTTTTTGTTGTTGTTTTTGCAGCAGTAGCTACAAGCGGGCGGCACCTCAGGCCATACGATTGATATCCCTGATGCAAGCTGCTTAGACAGAATAACAGAACTGTGCTGCATGCGTTCACTCACAGCACGGGATGCAAATACATGGCTCGCTCTCCGCATGTTAATAAAAGTCCACTGATTTCAAGACACAGGGCTTCTCATGCTCTTCGCCCGTCGAGGCCCCTTCCTGCTTTGTTCTGCCAAGCGGGGCTGTCGCTTCAAGAAGGAGCCATGGCAGGGTGCCTGCGGACGGCCAAATCTGCAAGCAACTAGGGTGCAAGGCAATCAATATGCCTATTTTGTAGCAAACTCACCCAGAGGCTACCCGCGATCTCATCATGTTTAAGGTTGTGTACTTGGGATCCAATTCTTACTTCAGGTTGTGGAATAGAGAAATGCAAATAGCATTGCTTTCACATACTGGCATCGATGTCCCTCCTTTCCGAGCTACAGAATTTGCGGCTCGATTTTCACGAACAAGCAGGAGTCTCAGAAATTGCAACCAGCCATTTGAAGCGCCCGTGTCTTGTGAAACCCCAAGTGCCTCCAAACCATGGTGGATTTGCCTATGGATTTGCAAGATCCATGGTTTGAAGCCGGGTGAACGCCAAGTCCATGGCTTGCCGCGTGAAAATTGTTCGATGACTAGGCGCAAGTCGCACAGCTACCTGCAACCCCGCCATGATCCGTGCAGACTTTCTATACCCGACAATTGCAACCACATGTTGCCTGTGTTGCTTTTACGGCAAACTGGCCGCGTCCGTGAAACGAAAACCGGATGAGGGCCAATTCACCTAAGGGATGTGCTTGTGTCAAAGTAGGGGAAACCCCCCAACAAATGGCTTCCCACGGCCGTTTTGACTGGTCTCTGTAGCGAACGCATGTCATGGGACCCATCTAGCGGGGTATTTGGAGTGGCGAACAACCGAAACTAGCAAGACATTCAAAAGTAACACTCGGGGGAAAAATCACGGGGGCGCTGGACAGCAAGGGCCAGTCTCGTCCAACGCATTTCAGCTCGACACTCCAAAAGGAAGCCATTTTTCTCGGACAGGAGGAAGTGCCCAGAGCCTTAGTCGGTAGGAAGTGATCACCCAACAACTGGCTTCCCATGGCCGTCTCAACTGGGTTCAGTGTAGCGAACGCATGGGACCCATTTAGCGGAGGAAAGAGCCTTGGGGTGAAAACGAAAGGGGATCCCAGAGGAGCATCCCCCCCTAAAAATGGAACTGGGGGAGGGGGGTGACTTCTGCAATTCCATTTCTGACCCATTTTCCCTGGGAAGACTAGATCAATGGAATTGGGGGCCCCCCACCCCACCCCTACAGGAGAGGGGGTGACAGGAGCTCTCACCTGCGCAGTGGCGGACTTTGCCCGCCGAGTGGCTGAAGTACTGGCCAGCCTCCTGGGTCTGAGGACTCAGATCAGAGCTGGCTGAAAATGGCTCCTTTTCTTTTCAGCTGCCCTTCCGACCAAGGTCAACATGGAACTCTCAATAACAAAGCCCAAGCTTGAAGCAATCGAAGGCATGAAAATCAAGAGATGTGTATGTGATAGATTGTGGGTACTTCTGATTGCGCTGGTTTCCTTTATCAAGGTACCCCGGGAACTCCCGAGGTCTGCAGGAAGCCGTGCCTGTTGCGTTGTGTTTTCGCTTTTTCGTTGCCCTTTAGCATCGTTGACAGCGAAAACCAAAGGACCATATGTTAACCTGCTTGGGCACCCATGTGAGAATACTGACGGGTCCGGGTCTGTCCCTGCCTTTGACTGCTACAAGCTTTGCTCAAGTTCCAGGGTGTCCAAAATGTTTGGTCAAGCCATGTGACATGTAGGCAGCATTCGATTCGGGCCCTTGTATGATCTAGGTTTTGAAGGTGACAGCCAGCAAGAACTTAAGATTACCCTCCCACCAATTAACGTGGAACCTGGCATCAGCATGTCGTGAAAGCATAGCTTTTTTTCGGCGCAGGCCGGCGTGAAGCCGTGGCTCCGACCATTCAGGCCGGACTTGGCAGCCGGAATGGGAAACACATGGCGCCGACCCCGAAGCCGTAGACGGAAGAGACATGCAGAGACATTCCTTGGAGCAGGTCCCAGGCTGTTATAGAGCATATCCACTTCGGTCGAAGCAGACGCGGAAGCATGCTCACGATGTAACCTTAGGTTCTTGGTTTTGGCCGCTTGGCCAATCACCCATGTGACTGTCTGCAACCATCCAGCATGGTTGTGGGAGATAATTAGGCTTTTAGGGCCATTCTCTGTGACACCCCATCTCAAGTGACAAAGAAGTCATGGGACGGAGGAACCCAATGTTGGTATCACAGACAGTTGTTTTTCTTTCCCACGACCATGACCGGCATGGTGACACAAATTATCGCATATTGCTTTGGCAGGCTTGATAGCGCAAAGTGGCACAGCTTTTGTGCTTATGTAGTGGAATAGATGGAAGTTAACAAAGGGTGGGCCACAATTCATGGCACATAGTGAGAATTGCGTTTTTGTCCTTGCTTTCTTGCGAAGGGTTGGTCCAAGGACAAGCACAGTGAAAGAAACCGGCTATGTTACCCTCCCAGCAATTAACATGGAACCTGACAGGGGGTCCATGCTAATTAGTGGAAGGGTACCTGGACCATGGTGCTTTTCAAGGGTTTGGACTGCGCGAGGCCAGTTGCGTCGCTGGGGGCCTCCAAAGTACGCCGAGCACCGCGGCCGCGACGGATCTCCCGATCACTGGCTGTGCAGGCAAACGGAATCGAGTTCACTCGTCCGTTGCCATGAGTCCTTTGGCAATCTTGCTGCGCTAGACCTGTGTCAACCTGTTATTGAATGCATAGAAACATTTGGCATCCATTAAACCACGCGAGGTAAAAGGGGTTCGCCATCATTAATTTGAGAAAGCCCACATCAGGCACTCCCAAATGTCACTTGGTGAATCGAAGGTTGAACTTTTTGGGTAGACCATTTCGGTGCTAAATACAAAGTTCAGACTTGTTTTGGCCAATCCACGCAGGAAGTGAGTCTCTAAGATTTGGAGAAGTACTTTCCATCAAGAACTGTCCATCGCATCATGTGCGAGAACTATTACTCGTTTTCAAGAAGGGTTCGCAGAAGGATTGCTTGTCCCTACGTTTTCACATGTCCGCAACGGCCGCCATTAAAGCTCTGAAACCAATCCCACTGCTTCCTGTCAGGCTATAGACGCTTTGACAATTCGACAGCTTGATGTAGCGTGCTAAATCCTCCGGCTAGCTTCCAAGATGGTTGAAGGGAAGGACCAATGCGCTGCCCCAAAAATCGAGAACATTGAATGGCATCAGCTGTCCAGAAGCCTATGTCATATCTATGCTTCCTATTAAAAGCATCCAGCCCTTTGGCTGCTGACCCAGTTTCCTGGGAATCCCTCGCCAGGCATCGCAAGGCGTTGCAACTCAAGACACGCAAGAGCCTCCCGGCTTAAAGATGGTCGATGCACATGTGCGGGCAGGGCATGTTCAAAAGAGCTGTCTCAACAGCAAAGCATTGATGTACCCACTAAGTGCTATGCTTCTCAGTCAGCCCTGATTGCCAACGTTCTGATTTGAGCGACGCCTCACTTTGACAGCATGAGAGCGATGCAAGCGCCCATAGCATTCCGACAGAGGGACCGGGATGCTTTCCTCGCCAAGTTCTTAGGTTTCCACCGTCCTTGTCACAGGCCAGCGATGGAGCCTAGGCTGAGTTTGAATTTTGCTGGATTGTTGTGGGGTGGTGGCACAACTGCTTCCCTGCTCCTTCCAGGCAGAAGTCAAACGGAAGAATGTAGAATCAGGAGCTGCTTGAACGGTGTTTGGTCAAGAATAGAAGCTTCTTGGACGGCTTTTCACGCTGTTTCTGCAAGTGGTATTCTGTTAGATGTTTACATCCGTGAAGCAATCAGGCAGCTAGGATTCCAACTGAAAAGGCCACTGCAATTCACAGTGGCCTGCGGCGACCTGCCGCCTTGCCAATGAATGTGCGCGTCTTAGTTTCCAAAATGCAAGCTGCGCCAAAGACCCGCGTGACGCAATATCAAATCATGCGACAGGTCCAGTGCTGGAATTTGTTGCTTAGCTTTCATGCGAGGGAAGAAGACAATCTACGGCACGAGGGTTCGCGAGCACTGTTATTTGCAATTGATGACGGTCGAGCAAGATTTTCCCAACTACTAGCAGCCATGGACTATCTTGAACGTATTCACAGGAGGTCTAGCTCTTTGTTGCCGCTGCCGCTGCTGCTGCCTCCACCGCTGCTGCCGCCTCCACCGCTGCTGCTGCTGCGGCTGCTGCTGCTGCTGCTGCTGGCAGCCCAAAGTGGGGACAGTAGGTGTTTCTGAATGTTGCTGCGGCATATTGTCACCCAGGCTGTATATATTCGCGCGCCGTGGGATGACCCAGTCCTATTTCATTGCTTGGGTGCTACTTTTCGTGGAATGTGCCAGGTGCAATCAATCACCCGTGGGTTGTCCGTCCAGTGCTTCACTTCGTCCCACAGAAATCAGGGCCAATGCAGTGTCAGTTGTCATGCAACGTATCACTTAGTGAGTCACCGCCCTCCTGCACTCAAAGAGCTGATCTGTATGTGCATATCTTGCGGTGATCACGAGCCTCAGCACAGGCTACCAAATATCAATCGACCAAGACGGCAGAGCCTCGCTGCGATTTGTCAGGTTCTAGATCTCCCTTGGTCTCAGATAGCTTCCAGGAAAGAGACCGCGTCAGACGTTCTGAGTTTGAAGCCAAAGCCTTCAATCGAGTAACGCGGAGAGTTTGATTTCCGATGTGCCATGGCGGATCCCAGCGTTTTGCGAGCAGAGCTGCCCCAGCCCCAGTGCACTTGCGCCGTGTTTGCGAGCAGAACTGTATTGGCTTGAGAGAGTTGGTGCCATTTGTTGCTGTGTTCGTTCGTTTGTTTGTTTGTTTCTTTGTTTGTTTCTTTGTTTGTCTCTGAGCGAGTTGCTGCCATGTTCACTGTTTGGCTTCGGCCTTGGACACGTGCTGGCTGTCGCCCTCACAGCCAGGAGCAGAGAGAGTTCAGGCAAAAGAAGGAAAGACAGCTTGGAAGTGCCTGTGCACATGAGGAAACTGGTGAACCATATGTTTTGCGTTTCGAACATCGACTTTGCAGCTAGAAGGCGAGCGTTTCGCGGCAAGCAATCTGCCGGGTTTGGCCTCGGTGTGTTGGAAGTTCTGGAGGGATGCCATGACCCTTGCTGCCCTTGCTCAATATTCAAGCAGGGATCAGGCAGCCTGCTGGATCTGCAGCCACACTTGTCCCAGAACATGTCAGTCGGGCTGGTGTTTTGGGATCCTGGGTGAGGGGAGCGGGTATGGGCCGATCTTTCTTGGATGAATCCTTAAGCTTTAACTTGGGAACACATGACATGGCATTTCATACAAGCCAACCCACATGAAGCGTCACTGGTTGAACTTCTAGCCACTCAGGCTGCGACGCCTCAAAGAGGGCGAGAGCTGCTGGAGCCCTAGTTGAGATGATTTGGTTAGATTTGCAGAATTTGATGGGTTGACTCCCCTCTCCACCCATCACTCTACGGGGGTCCTACAGAGCCCTCAAAGGATACATGTGTAAACTTGATTAAGCTTGAGCTTTTTGAGGGAAAAGCAGTTTGTCTGAGAACCAACATATTTCAGCCATTCAATCTGAGACGTGAGGGTATCCCGGTACATTCTCAACCTTGTTGCCAGTCATCCACTTGGCCTTTGCCTTTGTTCCCCAACCTTCCATCCCTATCATGCAGAGCTGATTGCTTGCCAGTCATCCCTTTTTTGTGGTTGAACTCGGCTTGATCCCTCTTTTTGTTTTTTCGGTCGAAGGGCTTGTTCCAGTTCCGTTGGCTAAGGCCGCTTGGTGCTGGGCCCCTGCCCAGCAGAACTTTTGGCGGATGAGGCGGGATGCCCAAAGTGCAATTCATCCCCAGCCCCTATGGAATTGGGGGAGGGGGGTGACCCCTGGAATTCCATAGGTTCCATTTCCTTTGTAAGGGGAAGATAGCTAGAATTGCGGACGCTTCTCCCTGAGAAGAATGCGTCTTCCTGCCAGAACACCAGCTTGCCTCGGGTATATATTGCTATGTGTCATGTTGCCATACCAATGTGTGCCTAGCAGCTAGCAGGCTTGCTCACCGCAACTAAGAAGCTTTGCCACAATTTGCCGCATGCAACATGTCGTCAAATAGAACTTTCTGATGCCTCGACTTTTGGTTTTCACCAACCTGCGTCCTGAGTAGCTTTTGCCTCGCCCAAGCACCAAAACCACATCAGCAGCTTTGAACCTTCTGCGAAGGTTCAGGGGCGGCATTTCATTGAATGACTTTCAGCGCCAGCATTCCCGGCCCTTGTTACGGGATCACAATGCGCACCGCATCAGCCAACCACGCTTCTCAACATCACCAGGGCATGCGTTTCCACCGTTTGAGACCTGCAGGTAGACTTAAATGCAGGGGCGTCCCCTTTTTTTGGGAACATCACCCCCCTCCGGAAAGTATTTGCGTCTACCTTTGGGTCGTAAACTGCGTCACTTTGCCGGGCGTCCCAAACACCTGCACGCCAGGAGTTGATGCTCAAGTGTTTGGAGTTCAACGCCTACGTCGTTGAACTTCGCCTACTTATCAGGTGTGTGCAAGGTGTGCGCAAGTTACCTGAGACTCCGGAGTAAGTTGAAGTTGCGTCGGTTGATTGTTTTTTCTGCCAGAGGGCGTCCAGTGCAACGATATCCGAGCACCCGGACAGCACATGCCATCTGGTGCCAAGGAGTACCTGCCAGCCGAGCTGCTCGAAAAGAGGGAAATATGGCTGCGAGCAGCCAAGCAGCAGCTCGGAAGGGCAAAAAGAGCCCGGAAATATCGGGGTTTGTTTACCCCCATGAACTACAACTCATCAAGCATCATGCATCCCAAGCAAGCCGTTGGAAACAGCAACATGAGACCGTAACGCTTTTTGGAAAATCATGAGGGGGCAAAAGCATAGTGTCAACTGGCCATGTAGCGAGAGGTTATTGTATCACAAACAGTTTGAATATTAAAACAAATGCTCGGTGTTTCTCTAAAGCTCTCGGCAGCTTGTTGTTTTGCATGGAAGCCAAGGTGCTTGTTGTGCATCCAATTCATTGGTTACTCGGCTCGGTGCTCAGGAACTTCAATGTCTTGAGGCGGTGCTCCAGCCTTACACCGGGAGCGACTCACCTGGGGGCTGAGCAGTGTTGATATGATGTTTTTCTGCTGCGAATCCCCGGCCACCTTGTGAAGCCCTCCGATGTGCAACCCAGGAACTGATTGGGATCTGAGTGGAGTGCAGACGTTGGGCTGGGACAAACTTTGGGTCAATCCACTTGCATCCACTATGCATCCACTATGCATCCACTCACCCCGACTCCCGCCTCCAGCTCGCGGCTCGGCGGCTCGGCGGCTCGGCGCATGCTTTGAGTCTTTAAGGCCCGGCGCTGCTGCTTGATGACAAGGCAGGGGTGAGATGGCCATGGGCCAAGCGAGAACTGCCCTCTCAGACTGCCCGGCCTCGAGGCCTTCGTTTCCAGAGGGGTCCTGGATAGTCTGGGGGAGGGTACCTTTTCTGTCATGCAGAAGTCCAGAAACTTCTCGTGTGCTAGAGGGGGCGGTCGGTGGTTTTGTGGCCGTTCTGTTTAACACAGGCGAGCGGAGACTTCAATGAAATCAAAGCTGGCATGAGTCAGCTGCGTTCTCCTCGCACAAGAAGGGATGCCAGTGATGCCAGTGCATCAAAATTCAGAATCAAGCAAACTAACATGGTTCAGCTGAGTTTGAGCTCTTGACTCCTAAAGCATAGGGCAGGGGGGGTGCTGACATTGCTCGGTCCGTTGCTGGGTTTGCACCTGGAACGATAAGTTGCAGGGCAAAGTGTGATTGTTTGGAAGATCAACAGCAGCACGTTGCTTGTCCCAAAAAAAAACCTTTATCATGTCTGCAGGTTCTTGATGGAGAAACAGAAGCACCACTTGGACCAGCCATGCCAGCGTTGACAGCCCAGCAAAAAACATCTGCAGAGGAGTTTGCACTGCAGCTGGTCGAAGTGGAGCCCATGTCCCTGAAGTTCCTGAAGGGAAACGACAAGGAGGCCGCCGAAAGCGGCGAATCACGGCGTAGGTTTTCTGAGGCGTTTTTGGCGGAATCAAGAAGGCTTTGTCGCCAATTGCATCCCTTCGTCCTCAATCACCTGCCTTAAAAAAACAGTGAGGTGTTTCGTGGAACTGGCGAACAATGGCCTGCTTGCTTGGCTTTGCTGCGGCAGGATATTTTGTGCTGCCTGTCGAAGTGGTGCAACAGTTTTCCTCCACAGCTGAGGCTGTTTTGGGACTTGTTCGAGTTATTGCTGCGAGTTTAGCAGCATGTCAGAACAACACCCCCCACAAATGCTCATGAAACCGCGACTTTGAGCAAAACTGGGGCTGCAGAGTGTTTTGTTTTTTGTTGCTGGAAACATGTTCGGCACTGTTCTGCCACTTCAGCTGTCCTGCCCTGCCTTCCTTTGTTTGGCCGGGTGGCTTGGCAGGGCGCAGAAGCTGGGGGCTGGTAGTGTGTAATCACGGTTGGAACTGAAAAAATGCTGCTTGGTCGTGACATGAAGTTATCTCTAATTGGCTGAGGGGCACATGCATAGAATGCTCAGGTGGTGCTTCATGCTTTGGAGGGCTCAGGCCTCGCTCTGGAATTTGCAGATGATTCTTTGCGCCGCTTGGTTGCGTATTGCCGCAGAGTTCCGCAGAGCTTTAGCGTACGTTGACCTTTGTGGCAGTGCCCAAGTGTTTCTACATCTTTGCAATTTGACAACATGGCTTGCAAAGAGTCAGATGCCCACTTCCAAGACAACAGGCAGAAAGTCTTGGAGGCAAAGTTGCATGTGACATGCGTCAGTTGTCAGGAACTGAATTCCGACACATGCAGAAGGCGTGTCGCCATGACTCAGCGTGTGGGGATGAGGGCGCAATATCTGTTTAGCCCGAGTAGACGCAGCGCGTGATCTGACAACCCTGCGTTGCTTTTTCCGAGGTGCCGACAGAGATGTAGTGCCATGGTTGCAGATGTTCTTTGGCTTTGTGCTGAAACAAAGACGTAGTTGTAACAACTGCGCTTTTGACAGTTGCAACCTGCGACGGCGCTTGAGCTACTTCACGTGGACTTCCTTGTGCATTTTCGATCAATTGCTCCCAGCCAATTTCTCAGAATCCAGCCAGTGATATGCATCTTGGTGAAAGGAAGGATGAGGTGGATGGATTGGAGTCGGAGTGGTCATTGTTCATAATTTTGGCTTTTTGATCGGTTTCTTTTGGTCCCTTCGGCTCCCTCGATGTCGATGTAGTAGCGGTCAATGGTGGCTTTGAGTCCCTGGTCCGTTTGTGTGCGAACGAACCTGAAGATCCTCCCTCTAAATCATATGTTTTGCTCTTTGCTGCGACCAAGTCCGAACCAAATCGGAATGTGTGTTTTTTCTTGGGCTCGTTTTGTTTTTCCCAAGGCAAATCGACAAAAAACACCTAAACCTACTGTGCACCAAAATGCAACACACCCCAAACCCACTCCTGCGTAAGCGTCGTGATGCTGGGACAGGTGCTCCGCTTCTATCGGCGGTCTTCCGCTTGCTGCATGGGTCCTTTGGGTTGGAATCCAACGAAACTGGCTGCAAACTGGGTCTCAAGCAGTCCATGCGCTTTTGGCATGGTGCATGGGTGCCCGGCTTGTTGGCGCAAGGCTGATCAATCCAGCTTGGTCAGCAAAGCAATATATACCCATTGGCAATATATACGCCATGCAATGGGTATGAGGGCTGAATCCTGAAGTAGCTCCACCCCTTGGACGGTCTTGAGAATTTGTTTGAGCGTGAGTAGCTTGGGCACGGACGTTCTTCCATTGGGCTGAATTGCAACGGCATCTCTTTGTGTTTAGCAGCCCCTGCCTTTGAAGGGCCGCATGGCGTGTCTTGTTGGCAAAAACTTCTTGGAGTAGATGTGCAGCAGTCACGGCGAGCAAATCTGAGGTGAGAAAAGCGGTGCAGAAGGACCCGTGGATTGCGTTTTCAACACTTAAGCCCAAGCTAGGACACATTATTCTCACACCAGCATGGGAGAGTCGTGTGCAGACTGGCACAATTTGCATGAACCGTTCGGCCCAGCTTGGAGCCTTGCAGTTGGCTCAGACACGGTGCGCGCCAATCCGCTCCTTTGGGCCTTCAAGTTGTTCGCTCCAAACTTTCCGGCGACCTGCGGCTTCATGATTTTCGTGCCCTCGAAGCCATGAGACGTGTTGCGGCCCTGTCTATCTTCAAACCGATGCCTCAGGAAGTCGCTTCAAACGCGCGCGCGGGGCTGTGTTCGGCAGGATGGCCTTGCCCACGCCTTTGCTTCGGAAGACTTGCGAAGGGATGAGGAGCTGGCGCTGGCTGCCCTGAAGAGCAGCACGGTGCCACTGCGGATGTCGGGTCACACATCGCATAGCACTGCATTTTGAGTTACCTGTTGTTGCTAGCGCAAACCTCGGATGTATATCCCCCTGGTAGATAAACAGGTGTCCCCTTTTAGTGGGGATCCTTGAGCTTTGTGGGTGACACCCCCTTATAGGATGGGCTCTAGATCCGGGGTTCCCATGGAGAGGGCGTGGTGTCCATGTCACTTGCATTCCCGTCCAGGCGGTCATCCGCATCTTGCCAGAATCTCTGTCAAGAAGTATGAGCTTTTTGCTCCTTGTCCATGAAGGAGGTCTCTCAACGAGGGTGACCCCCTAAATAGTTGATTGCCTGTTGGCCCCCCTCAAAAACCAACCCCAAGTGTACCCTCAAAAAACGACGCCCCCCATATTATCGCATCTAAGCGCTTTGACCTCCTGTGAAGTTGAACTGCCCGAGGCTTCAAGCTGCCAACGCCGGCGGCAGCAGCATCCTTCGATTTCTGCCAGAATACGCTGCGGACAAGGCATCAGCCGGGCAATCCATAAGTATAAGCAGCTTTGATTTGCAATTCCCTGTGACTCATCCTGTGGACTAGCTAGGAAGCATAGAGAAGATGAGACTTCGATATGATTTGGCCTTTTGACGTGCTGGAGGATGCAAGTTTACCCAAGCTCAGAAGCCATCCTGCACGTGGGGGGAGACTGACCCTGATCCCGCATGTATTTCGCAAACTTGCCTGTAGCAAGTTCTGAAAGAGCTTCGACGAGCTTGGCGTTGGCTTGCGAGCTTTGAGAGGCAATGAGATATGGCAAGGTCCACGGGGTATTTTCGCGTTTGCGCTTCTGCGCTTTTGTTTTGAGCGCCGCTGTTAGATTGGAGCATTTGCGCATGTTCTGGGCATTCACGTCGAATCGGGCTCGGAGGTGTTTGTCCAGCACGTCCTCAAGTTCGACTGAAGCTGGGCCAGAGGTTTCCGCACGCGGAAGCATGGGCTTTTTCTCGGCGGTGTGCAATACACACTTGTGGGCAGGATGTTCGTGTTTGCAATTCCTCCATGCCGGACTTCTTGGGCGGAGATAAGTTTATTGCAAAGATGGAGGGGCTGACAGAACTGAAGGCATTGAAAGCTGCCAATGCAGACGCTGCACTTACAACGCGGATTGTTTGTAACTCCATCATGGCCATCATTCACGGGTGTGTGTGAGTTGTTGTCTAGCATTTTGTCCAAGACAAACGACAGAAGCCACAAAGTGAAGCTCTCGCGGGATATTGCGCTCGCTCAATGATTCTAGCCTTTGCCTGTTCCAGCTGCGAAGCCGACTTGGCCGGGAGACCACCTGAACTGGCGAAGTCCACCCCACATGCTTTCCGGCTTTGCTTTCCAGCCCCTCGCATGTTTGGGCCATGGTTCTGCCTTTGCAGCCCCCGCTGCTGGTCTTTTAGGGGAGCCTGGAGAGAAGAATCCGTCCACCCGTTTAATATTTAAGGCACAGCGCTGGCCCACTGCCCCCAGCTCATGCACGACCCAAACCTGCAGCTGGCGGCGCTGGAAGCGGGCGGAGCCCAGGGTGCGGCAGCACTGGAGCCCAGCGTCGAGTGGGCGATGGGATGGGTCTGATGGAACCTCAAAAGTGGCTGCTGGACATGAAACATCCCCACATGGATTGTTTTGATGCCCACCTAAGGGTTTGCCCATTCTGCATGGGTTTGTTTTTGCTGTTTTGAGTCTTGAGGCTACCCTAGTTCAGGTAACACGAAAGATTGGTGGGTTGGATTGGGTGGTTTGGGGCTTGGGGATTTGAAGCCCAGTTCTCTGAAGCCAAATGGGCATAAGGTCCAACCACCAAAACAAACTGCCAATTCGGGGTAAGGTGGCTATTCAGCTTGTTTTAAGGAAGCCGCAAGGAATCCCACCATTTTGGGGCTCCCCCTATTTTGATATAAATAGGGAAACAATCTCCCTTTAGTCCCCTTTTTCCAGCAAAGAGTAGCCTCAAAAGAAGGCTTGGATCGTTTACTTCCGGCTCTGGAATTTTGAAGAAACAATGCAGCTCATTTGCACCATGGGCATGGGAATCATGACGCCATTTGCAGTTGATTTGCACCGTGGGCATGGCAAATAGCGAGTAGCAATCGCTTTAGCACATGCCCCGATTGTGGTCCCATTTCCTGGGAATCTCCAAATGTGAGACAGGAGCCATCGCTGACTCAAGCGGTCGGCAAACATAATTCTTTGAAGCCCACGGGATCCCACGCATCGCTTACTTGTCATATCCTAAGACCCCAGTCATGAGTGCAAAGATGTCCACTTCGTTAGGTTTGTCATGTTATGATGCCGCCTATGTCGGCTCCTTTTTGGTTAGGAGCTGTTGCCTGAAGGGAATGTCTGAAGTAAAATTTGAGCTGGCCTTTTGGCTGAGCTTCCCACGGTCAATTCTGAAAATGTGTTGCACCAGCGCTCTCACTGCCACAGTTCAGGAGCTCGCGCCAAAAGAGCTTCGAGAAGATCGCAGCTTCCTGTTGCGTGCGGCCAGGATCAGCCCCCAGGTGCTGGCTGCAGCTTGTCCATGTGTCGCTGCCTGGCTTTTGCCACATGCATGATCGTCACGGCGTGTGTTCGCAGTCGTTCATTGCTTGGCTTGCTTCTCAAGCCAGAGTCGGCCTGGCGCCAACTTTCGGTTCAGGCCGGCCTGCGAGGTTCATTCGACCTTTCTCGCGGGCCGGTGATGGTGTGAAAATTCGAGCGGGGGGCCATGGTGGCTTCCGAGCGCTTTGTGCAGCATTTGCAGGGGCACTGGCTGGACTCTATTGGCCACTCAATAATTGTGAGCCAGTGCTCGGAACAGCTAACTGCTGTGCTGACCCCGCTAGTGGATCACCCAGATGCCAAGGATCCTTGGCTTCATAGTTTCTTTGAGGATTCTTTTGCGAGGCACGGGCATAAATGTGTGCAACAGCCAAAAGGGGGAGTCATTTCTTGCAGGCTGACAGTCACAACGATGGCAGGTAGGGGATGCATTTGTGTGTGTGTGTTTTGAGGGGACCAGCCAGAAAAGGACACCACTCATGTTGCGCGGGATCCTGCCCCTTTGGCGCTAAGGACCAGGTTCTCCGCATCGAGGTCAGCGAAAGCACCTGGCGATGCGGCAATGCCAACTTGGAGTACTCGGACGAGCAGACCCAGCGGCTTGTGTGGGTCACCGAGGATGGCCGCCGAAGTGTGTGGTCAAGACCCCTGGAGATTCCGAGGGTAGAGGCTGAAGCTTGGCCGCAGATGCGTTTGCTTCGCGTTCGCAAGCCAGGAGTTGAACTTTTCATCCACACGTTGCCTGCCAACTAACATGAAACCCGCAAAGCGTTCAATGTCCCTCGACAAGTGCAGGTTTTTGAGTTCCATGTCACGAAAGCCAGCTGTGCTCGCAATTAGCGGGAGTTCCCCAACCTTTGGCTGCTTTATGGGGCTGAGCTTGCCACAATGCCTGGTTTAGTCAGGGTTTGGGAGGGGGGGGCCTCCCCCTAAAATGCCTGAATCGCATCAACAGATCTTTACCTGGGGGTTCATCTAGGATTGCAATTCTTAGTTTATCCTATTAGCTGCTTGGCTTTGGTTTACCTCAAGTTGTTGTTCCCGCTGAAGGACAACGACAGCCCCAGCTTTCCATGGTTACTTCACAATGCAGCGTTGGAGCCATGGCTTCCGCTGGATGTGCCCCGGGATATCCTCTATGACGGTGCCAGAGTGGCTGCTCTCCTGGATATCCGACAGACCCTCGGCAGTTCGTCATTTTTTGCCGAATCCGAACAGCGCCAACGGCCACAGCGCAACTGTGGCGGCTTGTTTTGTTGGGCACGGTGATTTAGATGACGTGTAAATGCATGATTATGTTGGCCACCCTCCATTTTGAAGAGCTCAGTGAGATGATTGTGAACATAGAAAAGAACTTTGATGAACTCTGAGTGTCAGAGGAGTTCACGCGACATTGGCTCAATGCATTCAAGAAAACCTGAGCAAGCTCAGGATGATCGGCCCTCGCAGCGAACCACAGGAGCGTCTCACTCACATCCTCATGGACCATGATTTGCACCCGGGTGGGGGCGACTACCTCATTCCTGGAGTAGACTCCCCACTGTGGCAAACTCTCAAGGTATCCGATGCGATGCAGAGAAGCTCGGAACATGCCAGAGCTCAATTTGCTGACTTGTTGATGTTGCATTGGTAGTGCTCAGAAGAAATCAGGTCTTCTTGCTGGTGTTTTTTTGCTTCAAAAGCAACAGCTTTGGTGAGGAAAGCTTGCAGCACTTAGGCAGCCAATCTGTGACGTGCCCAATGGCCCACCGTGTTTCGGTTTTGGGATTGGCAGTCTAGAGATTCCGAACTTCCTGTGAAGCAAACCAACAGGTTTTGTCAGCTGTGAATATGCCCATGCTTGCTTGTGGCTGGACTTGCTGTGACTGTAACGGGTATAGGGTTTTGAGAGCCAAGCACGTCAATATAATGTGTTTCTTGCGCTTTGAATTCAAAGTTCCTGGCTACATCGCACAACTTGAAAGCAACGAGGGTCATGAGCGTTGGCCACAGGATGTGCGGAGTATACTTAAATACATTGGCACTGCTTTCCCTGTAGATTTTGTTTCTGCCGTTCCCGCTTTTGGCAACAATTGAGTACTCAGGAAGCATCGCGCAGAGAATTCGCCAGATTCCCCACGAGGCCTTGTCCCAACGCGTCAGCTGGAGCGGGGACTCCGAAGTATGGGTTGGCCGCCACAAGATCTCTTGTAGGTCTCGGGATATTCAGGCCCTGGATGCTCGGTGGGTGCCGCCCAAGGACTGGACAATGGATTTTTGTTCAAAGATGTTAAAAGCAAGTGAAATTTGTGTGTGTGTGTTGTCATCAGACCTGGTTTGCCATGGTTTGCAGTGACAAAGTCGGACAGAAACTTGGCACGTCACAGCAACACCTCATCGTTCTTTTCCGCAGGACGAGCGGAAGCCCCTGGAGATCGCCAGGCTGCTGGCATTGTACAGCGTTTTCGATAACCCTTTAAGCAATCGCCGGAACGGAGTGCACTTGGGCTTGGATCCCGTGATCCGGCGGCATTGCGACTTCGAGCTCTTTGCGTCTCCTTTGAATGCTGCAGTCCCCAACGGCCGCTTCTCCAGCAAGTGGCCACATGTGGAGTGGCGCTTTGGGTCCATCGGATCCTACCCGTCGGTCATCGACTACCTTCCGGTGGACTCGGTGGTGTGCATCAACCCCCCGTTCACAGAAGCATACCTTGCAGACGTCATGGCGCGGCTGGCAGAGTTGAAGTTGCGCTTCAGACTGCGCATCGCGGTTCCAATCTTGGAGGCGCCCTGGCGCAAGAAGCTGCAGAGTTCCTTACCAGTGCCGCAGCTCCTGAAGACGTACTACGACGCGACGGCGGGAACGCCTGCAGACGTGCTTCATCCAACACTGCTTTGGGAGGACCCCCGCTGCCCTCCAAGGCCTGCCGTGGGAAACGAGGCAGAGGTCCCACAGGTCCAGCCGCAGTTGGTCGTCAGCGGCGCTTTAGCCATGGTGTTGCCCGCTGCCGCCGCAGCGCTGGTGGGAAATCCCGTCTTGGACAAAGCGCAGGCGACGGCGCCGCCTGAGGAAGCCAAGGACCTCAATCCCCAAGAGTGGCCAGCATTGGATCACGTGAAGCCACCAAAACGCTGACTGACAATTGCATGTGGAAAAAGGAAGGGGCAGCCGCTGGGATGAACTGGGGCACTTGCTTGGCCATGTGGGGTGCGACCTGTGCAGGAGATTGTTCATTTTCTTTACTGATTGTTGAGCAAGCCTTTCACAACCTTGCCTTGCTGCCGCTTGCCTAGACTATTTCGCAAGTGGCCCCCTTTAAACCGCTGGCAAACATCAGCATGCAGGCATCGAACTAGAATTGCTCGTTTCGATCCTTGGCTCCGGTGCAGGCGCTCCGCTTAGCCCCAGAGGAGCTGCAAAGAGATCGCAGCTTTGTGCTGGAGGCAGGAAGGGGTGGGGCAATGGGATATAGGGCTCGGCAGAGCGACGACACCCCACCTTGGAGCTACGACAGGGCAGAAGCTGCCTTGTCGAGGGTCAGATTGGACACCAGGTGAGTCAAAGGGGGGCAGGTGCTCATTTTTGCCTAAGAAGAAATTTGCCTAGGCTTGACTTTGAGAAGCTCGTTCGCCGACGGCCAAGCAACTATCGACCTTGGTTCTTATAGGATGCTTATAAGAAGCTGAACATGGAGTGTTATGCTGTTTCGTGGAGGTAAAGCTAGTGCTGCACATAGGGCTTGGGGATCAATGGAATGGCTAAATGCAACTTGACGCTTAGTGTGCTGTGTGGGGAGTTATTCTTGGACTTCAACAGCAAAGCGCGACAAACTCTCGCTGAGGAACCTTTCCCGCGAACCCCCAATAATAATCATTCATGAGCCGATCCTTTCCCGCCCTTTCAAGGTCGACAAGGGTTTGTTGGTTGTTGGAAGGCGCGCGTGGAAATCCCCCAACCAACCTCGTCAGCAATCTCCATGTTTTGTTTCTTTTCGTCCCAGGTTTGGCTTGTTGGAGAGTGCAATGAGGGGGGATTGGCCTTGAAAGGGAGGCCTTTTTGAGCTTAGTCGAACCTTGGTTTATGCTGTTGGCCGTCTGCAGGCCAAGTACCGAACAAGTGTTGAGCCACATAGCTTGGGTTCGAGGACGGCCCTCAAGATGTGAAGCACTCAAACTGGTCAGCATCCGAGTGCCGCCATCCTGCAATCCTGCAGGCAGTGAGAGCCAGGGGTGCTGCGTTGCAGTTCGCGCCGTTCGAGCATCGGAATGATCCGCAGCTGGTCATGGAAGCCGTGAAGCAGGAGACGCAACGATTGCGACGAGACTAGTAGCTCGCAGACTGGTCTGGACTCTTCTCCTTTTTAAAGTAATGTCCACCTCTGATTAATAAATAGCGCCCCCCCGAATGACCCTAAATAAAGTTACGAGGACAAATTTCAGGGTCAGGAAAAGTTTGGAAGGTGTTTAGTATTGTGTGTTTTGTTGTTGGACGAATCAATTCTAAAGTAGTATTTGGCATGTTTTTTAGATTTATTTAGGGGTACAGTTTATTATTGGGTTTGGGAAAAAGTTTAGCTTTATTTAGGGGCAGTTTACTAATCGTAGGTGGACATTATAGTATGAATCAGAATCTGGGAAAATGTACTTTTGTGTACCCCAGATGTCGGCCAAAGTAGACTGCTTGAGTGCTTGACAAGACTTAGTTCGGTTCGGTTCGGTTCAGATGCTTCTGATGCTGTGATTCAGGTGTCGGCAATGATACGAAATACATCCGATGCCTGTGAGTGAAAGAAGCATAGCCAGGGTAGCAGCAATTTGACGAGGCGTCGTTGCAAGTAAACGGTTGAGCTGCAAGGAAAATGAATGGCCCTGTGACCATGCATAGCCCTGGATGCGAGCAAAGTCAGCTGCCAGCCCTGTCATATTTCTTGCTCCTCGCAAAGAAGAATGCTCGGGCATCAAGTGCTTAATCTGTTCCCCCTACTGCTAAATGTCCCCCCCCAATACTAATTATTGCTCATCAAAGTAGCGTAGCAAATTCTTATTTGTGATATTTTGATAAGACTCCCGCTGATTAAGTTTTGTCCATGGCAGGCTTGTCGGGAAAGGATTGTTGCCCTTTGCATTATGCCAGTCATATCAGAAGTCGTCAGTCAAGATCTCCATGTCCAGTTGCTCCCATGTCATAGCTGCATCACGCATCACGGACCAAACGTCAAAAACGGCACCATACTGAATTGAAGCGTGCTTAGCAATCAGCGTGAGAGAGGGAGAGGAAGCAAAGAGTCGCCTTCATTCTCGTCAGGATCTTGGAGCTTTGGCGTGCCGCGGCCAAATGCCAACTATATCACTTGCGGATCAAAGATTGGACGGCAGCGGTCCAAACAAGGGCATCGGCACAGGCCCAAAGGTAAAAAAGGCGGAGCACTTCCCAAATTGACATGTTACATAAGCAGCAAATCGGTCGAACTGTCTTCTGTTCAATGCCTTTTGAAGCTCGGCTGCTTTGTGTGTGTGTGTGTGTGTTTGTGTGGGGGAGTGTCGGTGTGTGTGTGTGTGTGTGTGGTATGTGGTGTGTGGGGTTGTGTGTGTGTGTGTGGGGTTGTGGGTGTATGGGTGTGTGGGTGTGTGGGTGTGGGTGTGGGTGTGGGTGTGGGTGGGTGTGTGTGTGTGTGTGTGTGGGTGTGTGTGGGTGTGTGTGGGGGTGTGTGGGGGTGTGTGGGGGTGTGTGGGGGTGTGGGGGTGTGTGAGGGTGTGTGGGGGTGTGTGGGGGTGTGTGGGGGTGTGTGGGGGTGTGTGGGGGTGTGTGGGGGTGTGTGGGGGGTGTGTGGGGGTGTGTGTGGGGGGGTGTGCGTGTGCGTGTGCGTTTCCGTGTGCGTTTCCGTGTGCGTGTGCGGGTGCGGGTGCGGGTGCGGGTGCGAGTGCGAGTGCGGGTGCGTGTGCGGGTGCCGGTGCGGGTGCGGGTGCGGGTGCGCGCGCGCGTGCGCGGGGCGCGGGTGCGCAGCGCGGGCGGCCGCGCCCGCGCCCGCGGGCGCGCGCTGGCGGGGGTGGGGGTGGGGGTGGGTGTGGGGGTGGGGGTGGGTGTGGGTGTGGGTGTGGGTGTGGGTCTGTTTGTCTGTCTGTCTGTCTGTGTCTGTCTGTGTGCGTGCGTGCGTGCATGCCTGCGTGCCAGCTTTGGTGCATGAGCCACGGGCTTCAGGGTCCAGGGTTAATGGTATGATGTTGTTCTCAGATCAGATGAGGTTTGCAGACACCTCGCTTCGCTGCTCGGCTCGCAATTTGCCAGCCTGCAGTACAGTACGGTGTTGAATTCTGGCGTCATCGCGGGAGCTAGGGAGGTCATCACACTGTGCGACTTAGAAGGAGAAAGCTTTGCTTTGGAATACCTGCCTGTCCAGACAGAGGGTGTGTTGATGCATCTCAAGAGCCAAGCAATGTGCTCAGCACATTTTGCCTGCTTGTGAAACAAATGGACTGATGCCTGCTCGAAAGAAGCGCCTTTCGGGTGCTAGTGCAAGTCAAATTGTATGGTACTTTCGCGAAAATGAACATTTACCCGTAATTTACCTATAGCAACAGTTGCTTCAAACAGCTATCTCAAAAGCGCTGGCATTTTGAAGGCCGTCGGCCCGTTCGAAACCGCATTTTGGAGCGCACCCAATCCTCTTGCGATTTCTGCAACTCGAGATGATTTTGCAGTCATTTCAGAAGAGCATCCATCTCTTTGTGGCTTTTCGGTCCGCCTGATTACAAGCTCGAGAAGGTGCCCTTTGGCAGAATCAGGGTGGTTTTTTTTCTTATCTGTATATTGCTAAGGCAACAACGGCCGATTCAAAGAGGAGATCGCCCTCTTGCAGCAGGCCATCCATGTCACTTAGTCTGCGAGACTCTGGAATGCCGAGCCCTCAGGATCACAAGCCTAGCTCTCTCTCCACTCTCTTTGCAGCGCAGTGGCGCTTGGGTGGAGTGGCGTTGGAAGTGTTGGCCATGAATGTCCACAATCAGGCCGTCAGGCCAGCCTTGTTGTGTCCTACACATGCGCTTGGGTGATAGTTTGGCAAACCCACCGGGCACCACTCACGATTGTCGATTCCACACTTAGGAAATTCCCAAGAATCACATCTGTTGTCAATTCGCGCCAGCGCGTGTTTCTCAGCAAAGTTCGATACAGTTTCCTCGCCGAGGTCTCACCATCGTGAAGGCGGGGCTGCCGGTTTGCTGCTGCGGCCACCCTCAGACGTTGCTGTTGAGAAATAATTTGGCTTGTTTGTTTGATTTCCCCAGACTTTTGGACATGCGACGAAGCGGGTGTGTCAAACTCGATTGTGTAGCGGGTAAGGTTGAAATCAGCTTCCTTAGTCCTAGGTGACGTTGTTCAACCATCTAGGGGTAACTAGAAAGAATGATGACTCACACCCACCCGGCAAGATTTGCTGTGGCCACAGCTTCAAAGACATGTTGCCACTGTGGAAACAGACCCGTGGAAACAGGCAGAGCTATAGCGGCTTTCGCTGGGGCATGAACAAAAGGTGCAAGTGGACGTTGCTCGTTTTTGTTTTCTCGCTGCTGTTATTTTATGCAATCTCCCTGAAGCTGGTGAAGAGGGATCTCAGGCAAAGCTGGATATAGCTGGTGAGTGTGGCACTATGTAGCACACCGCGAGTCCGACGTTTCCCCTTCGGTATGGCTGAGGCT